ACCTGCTGCTGCTGGTGGTGGCAGGGGCTGTCTGCAATAAAGGAGGGGGGCACATTTGTAAGGGGGTCCCCACACACACCCCACACCTAAACTCCCTCACACACCTCAGCCACCCTCCACACATGCCACAACCCCTCAGCCACCCTCCTCCCCACTCACATGCCCCGTACAAATCCCGTACCTAACACATCCACATACAGTATGCCCACACTTATCTACACCCCCACACAGCCACACCCTCCCCCATACTCCACATACACATACCCACCCACATCCCTACACAAACCCTGTACCCACCCCTCCACACCCCCCCCAACAATACACACAAGACTTCATTTTAAGCTATCTTGCAATCATCTCTATGTACATTACACAAATGTACATAAATCAGGACAAAAATATTTTTTTAAAAAATCAAATTAATGTATGTTGTCTGATTTTTAGAATATAATTTGTTGTTTTTTTCTAGTTCCAAGATGGCAAACTCCCTAGCCAAAAGGAGTATTTCTGGGGGCAAGGGGAGGGACTTCCGGTTCCAAGATGGTGACCAGGGGGCGGCCCTCAACACCTGCCCTCAACAGCTGACCTAAACTTGTTAAGCAGCCCTCCAGCCAAAAGAACTGCCTACCCCTGCCCTAATCACTATACAAGTGTGCAGGAGGGAGCACATAAAAGTCACACAACACCTTTTACCTTTATCAAGCCACAGACAGAAAGCTGCACAGTAACTACTGGAATTAGCATCACAAAATAGTTGATTCCCAAAAGAAATGTTTTTCATTTAAGCTTTTTGTCACAGAATTTCTTTAGTTAACAGAGACTAAGTTTCCCAGTATCATTTCAGTCACACCCTGACTTTCATGTTCAGCAAAATGCAAACTTTTGAGACCTAGGAGATAAAAGTACTCAGGTAATGTATGTGCAACCTCTAATCTCCCTGACTTCAGGCAAAGCCATTGAAAACCACAGAATTTGTGTTTGTAAGTGAGGTAAACTAGAGGGGGCATTTCCCTTGTGGAGGGAGTGCGAAAGCTCCTCTGCCTGACCCCTCTTAGGCCTGATAAAAGGGAAACAGGTAGTGGATTTCTTTGCATGCACATGCACATCTTGTAGACTGTTATTAGTGTGGCACGGTGACTTCTTGGTGTGAAGACTATCAATAATAAGTAGAAAGATGACTAGTCTATGAATTTAACAAAAGGGAAAGTGAAGCATAGCATTAAATGGCATTATGCAGTAGGGCAAAGGGGTCATAGAATGACCAGATCTGGTGTTCTTTTGTGGATGAGGCTAAACGTTTGATAGCAAGGCAGGTACTTTTTTTAGTTCATAGTCTGTACCATTCAAAGGCAAAATGCATGTATGCTATAAGCTGATCAAAGACAGTAGAGTTAAAAGTTGTCTGGGCATGTGCTTAATTTCTATGTATCGGGGGGGCGTGGGGGGGAATAAAATCAGGAAATGAGATTTTGCTGAACTTCTATAAGGGAAAAAAGTACCAATAGGCAGCTTTGGCACTGCTAACAATGTTTTTTTCGTTGCATATACAATAAATGTACACTAACCTAAATAAAAGAACAAATAAAGAGCCTCTGAGAACATGCTGCATTCATAACTACTTACCAGTACACAAGTAGTTAAAAGGTGCGCACACAGTATTTTCAAGTGTTGTTTGTGAGACTAAAAAGCAGCAATATGGAGTGATGATGTTTCTTGAAGTGAGAGCTGTGACGTATTTAGAAGTATATTTTCTGTGTTACTTTCTAAGTGATTTTTGCATTCTAAAAACACTCTTCTGTTTGTTCCTTATCAGGAATCCATCAACAGTGTCAAGGCAAGGTTAAGCAGAAGTGTCCAGATTCAGACGCTACTCAAAGCATTTGAAGCTCGCGATCGCAATATACAAGAAAGCAACTTTGACAGAGTGAATTTCTGGTCCATGGTCAACTTGGGAGTTATGGTGGTAGTGTCAGCTGTTCAGGTTTACATGCTGAAAAGTCTTTTTGAAGATAAGAGAAAAAGTAGAACTTAATATCTACCATCCGTGTACATAATACACGGAGAGAGGAAAACGCAGTAAACCGCTACAGAAAAATGAGTGTTACCTCCATCTTGTTTTGAAAAGGCACTATACTTAACAAACAGGTTCTTCATTTACATGCAACTTTTTTAACATGAACAAAATGCCTTTTCTACAACCCTTCTATCTCTGCAAGTGCTACTAACAACAGCAAGATTTTAAGCTGGTTGCATTTATCAATAACTTTTTACTAGATTATGCATAATGCACAGGATGTTGGAACAAATGCAAAGTAATGTTGATACCTGCTATATAATCATATTTCCATAATCACTTGAAAAATCTTTCTATGCCAACATCAATACTAATAGGGTGGGGGTTGCTTTTTTTTTTTAAATATCTGAATTGAGTGAAGTTACACATGTGCCTAACTGTTTGCAGGTTTGGTGTGCAAATTAGTAACCTGTAATTATTGTCAGTTGACTTCAAGGATGTAAATGTGTAAATTTTCCTCCAACTACTGAAGAGGAGTGTTTTTACTGTACAACTTAATGCAGAAACACTGGACTGACACTTGCAAAATAGTTCATTTTTTTCTCTCACTTTTGTATACAAATGACTGACATCAGCACTTTAAAGAAACATGGTCAATGTGAAATCTATTTTTTAACTAATTAAAAGTAGTTCATAGCTACAAAGCTTACCGCCTCAGTCCTTTTGTCAGTTTTTGTGGTTTTTACAATCCTGTTTTTGTTATTGTTGCTGTATCAGAAATCTATACAAACAAGTGAAACTGCCTGCCTGAAGTACAGTCAGATGCACAAAATAAGCCAATTGAAATGCAGCGTATAATTTTAGTTATGTAATCGTAACTACTTTTAATACCATACTTTTGGTTCAAGTTAGTTTTCTCAGGCAACTCTGTTCCTTCAATAGTGCTTAAGGGTAAAATTCTTTGGAAATGTTACCTTGACATTAAATGTTTATATGCTTTTAAAATCTATTTTTGTTGTTTTTTTATTTACTGGTTTTGCTAAGACTTGCTAAAAGGTTAAGCAAAGTAATGCTGCAATGAATAGGGTAGCAGATCACAAATGGCAAAACTCTAAAGTTCAGTAAAATCCTTTCCTACTCCCTATACGCAGAAACAGCAAATCTTTAGTTGTGCATCTATTCTTATAGCCTACTCATATGTGTAGGCTGTTTGCATTGACAAAGTCATCTGAAAGTAGCCAACAGGATTCAGGTCTACATTTTGGGATTAAGTTCATAGCATAAAAGTTAAGAAATACTTGGTCATCTCTCAATAACTATGCAAATGGCTTGCATCAAAGATAGAATTTTCTGATGTTCAGGGAATAGAAAATAGAAGTCTCAGATGTGTATCTATTTTCTGTCATAATATCAGATCAAGTTTATTTTCTTTTAAAAAATGTAAGAGGAATTTTTTTAAAATTTTTAAATCAAAACAATACTGTGTCTACATGACATCATCTATGAGCTAGCTCAAGAAATACGATAGTGTGGACACATTATTCCAGGAGTGCTGTGCTTTGCTTCATGTAAATAAATTTTTTTTTTTTTAAGAAAAAATAAGGCATACCCTGTAGTACTCCAGTGCCCACAGAACCATTTTCTTACTGACCCCTTTTTGTGAAGCTGTGACTGATAAATCTGGTGTTAAGCTACTGTGTTCTAGTTCTCAACTGAATTAGTTGATAGAAAAAGCTTTTCTATTATTATGTAGTCACCATGACAATATCTTGGGCTCATTGACAAAATCTAGCATGTGTGTTTTGTTAATAAAAAAAATAGATCAGTGGTCACGATGGATGAAGGATTTGGTGTTCAAACATGGACAAAAAGCTTTTGAGGAGTAATGTGTTTTTGTATAAAATGTACAAATCAATGGTTATTTATGCAAATAAGGGAACATAAATGAGACTGGTTGATTGTTTTTATTTTAAAGTAAGTATTAAACAGTTAAGACCTTTTGAATAAAATTATGCAGAAACATGGTAGATTTACAATAAAATGGAGGTTAAACTTGTGTTTGTGTACTTGTAACATTTGTAGGAAGAGCACTGCATCTCTGTGCTTTTTACTCTTGTGGTTTGATCCCAGAAGGGATCAAGCAGCATAAGTTTCTGATGACTCCAGTAAGCATTAAGGGTATACAGCAGACAACAGTAATGTTCAGTATCTTGCAAGACTGAGCAAGTTTTGTAATACTAGCATGCAGGCCAATTGCTCAGTAATGCTTTATGACTTGGGCAATATTACAATTCAAGTCAGTACAAAGACTGGACTGCCCAAATTTTTGTTTTGTTAACAAAGCAAGTGTCACTTCACATCTCCAAGTCGGGGGTCAGCAACCAATGGTCCATGGGCCAGATCCAGCACAGCAGGCTTGTTCTCAGGGAGCTGTGCCCCTCCACTACAGTTCTGCAGTGTCTGAGCTTTCCCCTTACTGCAGAAAAGTTAGGAATCTGGTAGCCAGTCACTGGAAGGAGAGGAGGGGTGGAGATGTTTGGCCTGCAATCAGCTGGTTCATACACAGGCAAAAGACGGCCAAACCCTGCTCTAAATAGTAATACTTGTTAGTATCAGGTGAGTGGCAATAGATAAAGGAATTAAATCTGTGATGATAATGAAGTATCAAATGTTATTAAACATTTTACCAAAATTGAATTATGTAACAAGGGAGTATTGTAAATGTTACAATTCTTTTCTTAAAAGATCTCTCCTACAAATGTGGTAAATCAAATGCTACTCAAAAAGACATCAGGTATCCACATTGTAGCCATATTGGTCTAGAGGAAAAGGCAATCAGAACTCATAGTAGAGATGATATCTTTTATTAGACCAACAAGATTTTTGCAACAAAAAAAAAATTAAGGTATGTAAGTTCTCTTTTGAACCTATGTAATATACGAAAAAAACCAACAACACTACTGAAGGAACAGCTAAAACTTTTAAGTTTCCATATTCATTAAATATTACTTATCATCTGACTATATATGTGAGCCAGTATCAGGAGCAGCATGTTTTCTGAAAATATTAGGGGCACAAGGAAACATAGCACCTTATTCTGTCATTTTAACTTCACCTTAACCATAGAACAAAGTCCAGTAATATTTTAGGGGCAAGGGAAGTGAAAAGTGCTTCCCCACTGTTTTCCTTCTTACCTCTTAGCTTTCATTGGTTCAAGGTGGTGTACATTATAAATATCACTAAGATGAGACCCTACTTGTTTCAAGATTGCCAATAGACAAAACAATGGGGAACAAGAGTAACGAACATTATTCTATATTATAGTAATATGGCAGGATGTCATCTTTTGTTAAATGAACTGAAAACAATAATTCATGCCAACAGAAATAAATCACTGACCCTTTCCTCTGTTCCCTTTACCATGCAAGAATACAGAAACATTGTGACATTCTGAGCTAGCAATCTGCATGTGATTGAGCATATTTCTGTCCCCCCCCCCCCCAAAATAGGCAATATGGCATCTACGATCTGTTGTGGAAAAGCTTCTCCTATTATTCATTTCCATTAAACTGCATGAATGTGAAAGTGAACTATTTTTCTGCAACTGTTAAAGATGAATTCCCAAGTTTCCAAAGCAGAGTACATTATACACTTCTACTGGGAGGGTTTACGGACAACTTAAGTGTGCAAATATGGTGACCATAAAATAATAAAAAATGAAATGTTTATGCTCCATAAAACAGCTCAATTCCTGCATGAAGGAGTGGGGGGAGGGGTGGATGATGACAAAAGAGGAACCAGATCCTCAGCTGAGTTGTTAAAAATCAGATTTTTAATTTAGACTAAAATCCTGCAGTTTCTAAGTCTGCCAGCTGCTCCCCAACCTGCTTCTCACTTCAGAGTTCTAGTGTGGGACACTTGACAGCCTGTCTCCTTCCCAGGCAGGAGAGGGCAGGCTGTCAATGAATGGGCTACTACAACGGTGGAGGTAGCCTAGGGAGCAACCCTTTAGTACTCCTTGGCTAGAGACCTTGCCTATGAAGCTCTCCAGCCATGGAGCTGGAGGAATATCTATACAGTCCAGCTCTCAGGCTATTTTTCTACCAAAAGAAATTTCTTCTGGTAAAAATTTACATCTGTACATAGTCATAGTCTAAAACTTCAAAGCTGAGTGACCCTGGGAGAACTTTGAAGAGGCTACTGTTGGGTCAGGTTGTTGCTGAAAGACTCAGAACTTTGAGCAAAGAACTCTTTGCTGGTGGTTTGATGCTTCCTGTCTTCAAGAAAGTAAGATTTTGTATTTGTTTTATCTATAAGAAAGTACAAAGGGAACCAAGTTTCACGTCAACCTATTTTGAGGAAAGCAATTTTCAGACACCAACAATGGTCTACTATTTGTATAGCTATTAATTGCCTCCAGAACCTTTGGACTACAAAACTTCTCTCCAGAGAACATAAACCACTGATCCGCATACAGAAAAAGAACAAACATTTCTTACCATCAGCAGCAAACAAAGGAAGATGAGCCAACTTTCAGTAGATATTTACAGTGCGATGTCACAATGATCAGGTGCCAAACTTGCACTGGGAGAGAGGGAGAGAACACATGATGCATGTATCTGCACAACTGATTCCAGACTAGTGTAAGAATCACTTTAAAAAAATCAATGAAATGTATAAAGTAAATGCAATACCTAAGCAAGTGTTTACCTTCCTCTTCTACAGCAAAGATGCTTCTTCATAAATTTGTTAAGGCTTCCTCATTCCCTCAATGCTGCGTTGAACTGACCCTAGAGTATTTAATTTTATTTACCAAAAAAAAAAATCTTTAAAACCTATATATCTTGATTAAAAAAAAGAAAAGAAAAGGATTACACAAATAATGTTACTGTAGTGATTAAGACTCCAAATATATGAAAAATTGATAATTAAGAGTTACCAACTAGTTTCAGATCTTTTTTTTCCTTCCAAAGAGACAAAGGCCCCAAGGTAGAAAAAATAAAAATAAAAAGGCAGTTTCTTCAGCTTCTTTAGCACATGCAGTGAAATCAGAATTTATTTAGCCCTTCAGAGCAATATGTAATGCAGAGTAGGCAAGACAGGAAGCCAGTTAACCACAGTTACTGTTATGAAAAGGATAGTTCCCTTTTCTGAAGTGCTTAAAAATTAATGATCTATAGATACTAACCATTAAGGTCCTATATGATATTGATATTGTTTGACCTGCTAATTAGAAGTAAACTGAGAGAATTAAGATGAATAAACTAATTTTTAATTAAAGTTACCTGCAAAATGGAAATTATCCCAATATTTTAATTTAAACATAACCAAGATACTGTAAGCATACTGCCATACTTCCTCTGCTCCTCTCCCAGTGCATAGGTAACAGTTAACGGAGATAAATGGTGTGCCTTTACTTGTCCCAAAGCAAAATTCTTATTTAGAAAGGACATTTCACTGAGTACCTATTGTTTTATCCCTCAGGAGCCTGTAGGCAGTGATCAGACAGCTTACTTAAATGATACCCTGATGTTAGGAGTTGGAACAAAAGGTTTTGGAGAGGATTTTAAAAGTCTGTATGCATGCCAATCTTGCCAACCTCTGACCGTACACTAAGTAGTATCTTCTGAAACTACAATACAACCTGTATCTGAGTCTATATTCTGTCTTGAAAACATTCCCTTTTCAAACCTGCCAGAGTTCTTTTAAATTTGTGATAAGCTAAAATAAAAAATAAGCTGCATTTTTGTCTCTTAACTCTGGAATGCATGCTAAGAAAAATCAGCCATTCCTTCCTTCTTCTCTCAATAGCCTATTAAATCAATATATGCTCAATTAAATATATCATGTAAACAGGTCAATACAGCATTAACAAATTACAGATTAGCTCTTACGACAGATTTCTCTCTAGGTCAGCCTTATTTCAGGTTAAGAAGGGGTTAAGAATGAATTTACTTAAAGATAAGACTAAAATGTGTTATCAAATTGCTTGCCACCATAAGTAATAATAAAATAAGTCAAAAGCCAGCTGGCATTTCCAAAACAGAGATAATCATATGACCAAATTTCCATTTGGCAGGAATTTGATTTCAAAACGAGAAGCAGAAATATTGTAGTTGCCTGTGGAAGGGAAAAGCTGAAGAAAAAGTTAAACGGTCTACATATTTCATTTGCTTATACCTTCATAATGGAGAAGTTGGAAACCCTGGCTGGATTAGTCCTTTTGGTGGAACTATGATCACCAGAAGCCATGGAACTCCTCACAGCAGGCTATATAATGGGGATGCCCTGATAACACAGCCCTTGAATCCTAGGCTGCCTAGGGCAATTAATAAAGCTCTAAGAAATCAGCATAACTAACTGTCATGTCCCTTTCTTCAATTTTTAGTCTGCATCAGGTGTCATATGTACTAAAAATAAGAGATTCTTTGATCCTCTCCATTCACTGCCATTCTTCAAGTCAAACACCAATTATGTGTAACTGGAGTATTCAAAACGCATGGAGTTGCTCAGTAATGACGGTTGTAAAAATGAAAGATAGCTCAGTCAGTCTGTGCATCTAGATTTCAATCCAAACTTTGCATTTAGGATGCAAAGTACATGCAAATCTTTTTGGTTCAAAAATAAGCTATTAAGCTTGTCTGAAAGTGTCAATAAGTAGGGAATATAAATCTGCCGGGGCACAGGCAACTGTCCACCACAAAATGCTTTGCACCATTTGGTTAATTTAATTTGCTTTTTTTAAGGTTAATTTGGGATCATCTACCAAGAAAATATTGACTATCCTAGCTGTATGGGATGAGCTGGTAGCAGAAGTCAGTGCCATGAACATTTTTTAATCCTGTCTTCTTTTTACATCACTCCTATTAAGAGCCTTAAAAAATAGCCTCCTTCACGGTGTGTGAAAATGGCAGCTAGTCACTTAGTTAAAACAGTCAACGTTCAGAAAACAGGATGAGAAAAAAGGAAGTCAGGCCCATGTACTAACCGAATCAGGCATGGATTCCTGATCTAACTGATGGCTTAAACAGCTGCTGCTCAAAAACTGCAGAAGAGAAACGTTTTGACAGTATACCATCTGGAATCCAGCTGCAGAGAGAAAAACAGGAGGGTGGAGGATCAGAATCTATACTTTGGAGAGGGTGAAACAAAAGCAAGCTCAACTATACAGGTGGTATGGAGTTAAATGAGAGAACAGCTAAAATGAAGGAAATAGTAGAAATAGCATGGGGGAATCTGGGTCATGTCATATGTGGAAACATACAGCAGATAAATCAGGTGTGCATGTACTGCAGAAGCTGTGTACACTGTGCATTTCTTGGCAAGTTTGCTGAAAGTCAGCATTAAGTTAAGCCTTATGCAAGTACAACTGACATCCTAAAATTAGATACAGAAATTTACATTCTAATTAAAAACTATGGCAATACTAATCATACATTTCCCAGATGCCATTTTTAGTTTAACACGTGAGCAAAACCTTCCCCCAAAACTGAAAGTCTATACACATCATTACAGAAGCCAATTTCCCTGGTGTTTATCTCAGAAAAACTTAAATGCAAGTCTCATAAATCTGTCAGCATGAGCATGATGCTCAATACACAGTGTGGTTTTGCTATTTGCCTTCCGATTCCCCCTCCCCACTTCAAAACTATGTCTCTCTCTACAAAGCATCACTTTCTAAATAAAAAAGCCCCTAAGCTGTAGATTTCCCAACTCCCTTCCTTTCCTACACCATTAAATTAAGATTTATCTACTCCCCTCCCCTAATCCACCCATTCCAGCATCCCCACCTTGTCCCTTCTCCTCAACTTCTGACTCTTCAGTTTCCTCCCCTTCAAAATACAAACAGTTTGATCGCTTCATAAATGGAAGAAGGGGTAATGGTTATTTCCAAATATCTAGTTACCTGGAACTTCCGTCTTCCAGTTCCATCCAACCAGTGCTCTCCAATCTAACTTTTGTTCCTTCCACTCCGTTGCAACAATTGCCAAATGTGCAATAACCTCTTCCTGGCCTAAGATCGGTTTCCCATCCTCATCCTTGACCTGTCAGCTGCCTGCGACAGGGGCAAAGCTCTTTCTGAAAAAGTGTTGCTTACCCTCACTATCCGTGACTTCTCTCCATTTTATTTTTGCCCCTCACTGCTCTATCAACTAAATTTTGTTCAGAAAACATCTCATTCTCCCTCCAATTCTTTTACAAACAGAAGGGAATTCTTTGGGGTCAGTCCTGCTTCTCCAATTCTTAGATGATCTCATTTGCAAAAGAGAAAAAAAAAAAAAAAGTCAGGTATTCTGTACATATCACCTCACAAATCTCTCCCCACTATTGACCTCTCATTCTTGAAACCAAAATCTGAGCCTAAATTCTCTCCTGAAAGTACAGCCATCTGTTTGAACTCAACATAGCCAAAACTGAGCTCTTGAATTTTTCATATTATGCGTTTCTCAATCTCACTGTAGACGCATCCTTCCTGTTACTCAAGCAGACTGCTTCATTCTACATAGCATTTGGACGATCTAGACTTTGCTAGCCAAGCACAAAGTTAAATTCCCTAGTTGAGGTGTCTGTCATTTTGTGTCCTCTCTCTTGCAGTCTTGCAAAATTTTACCTCTGCCTATATTTGTTTATTCAAAAAGGCTATGGAGAAGATGACTTTTCTATGCTGTTGCTCTTACTACATCAGCCTTCCCTATGCATCCATCCACTTTTGGCTCCACCTTCTTCACCATGAGCTACCTTTCTTCACTGTCAAATTTCTTTACTGTTTATTTCTGTCATATCGCCTTACATAGCATCAAGATGTGACACGAAGCAAAGTAAGATTGCCAATTTTTTAAAATTTTCCAAGTCCCTCGTGCTCTCTCTCATGAAGCCCACAATGCGCACAAAGATTTACTCATGCGTAAGCTACTTCCCCCAAAGCTACTTCTCTCCTTCAAATCCTTCCTTGAAATGTTTCTATTCTGATGCCTCTAAAAACGCAAAAGTTAAACAACTGGTTTGCTGTGAGCAATTTTTCCAGGCTGACCAATAATTTGTTTCTTTTGGCTCCCATAGTACTTTATCCTTCTGATGTAAGAGAAGGGACTGCCTCTGTTACATGTTCATACAATGTCTAACACAACTCACCCTGGTTTCTAGATATTACTGTACTACAAATAATAAAGACATAATCCTGAGCAAAGACTTTGTTCATCAAGTATTAATTAGTCATGCAAGGAAAAGGTTGCAAACTCAGTGAACGTGCATAAGAAATTATACACTGACAATGACAAAGTCGCACTAAAATCTAATTGTTATAAATAGTGATCTTTATCCCCCTGACAGTCCATGACTAAGTATACTTAGGAACTGCATACAAAGGCAGCAAAGGATTCATAGATCAAGTTTCCAGTTCATGTTCTCAAAACCAAAACATTTGCTGAAGGTATTAGAAAGACTTTCAGGAATCTAGTAAGTACATCTAGGTTTATGTGCAAGGCAAGAATCAAACTGGCTAGAGTGCAAGGGAAGACAGTATAAAGAACTAGTGTGTATTTCATGTGAATACAGAAGCAAAACTCATTCTTCTCTCTTAAAAATACACACATTTAATGTCGTTCTCTTTTAATTCTAAGAAAAGCAATTCCAAAAATACAAACTGAACATCAGAGCCATGTCAACCACCGTAAAATGAAACAGACATTCACAATAGTTAAAGTCTATGGACAGTTTAGTTTGACAAATGTTCTCCCCCACAACTCCCAAGTACATTCCAATATTTATCTTCAAAAAGGAAGCATTACTGAAAATACTGCTGGTGTTCAGTTAGAATTAAATTAAAGGATTTGGGTAAAACAAAACACGACAGAACAGGTGGTGTGAGTAAGGTTACAAAGGCTTTACATTTTGCATTACCCCAAGATATGAACATTCAAATGAACATGAACTTATGTTATCAAAATATTGCAGCTACAGGCAAGGCAACATTAAATTAATAGCTGAGGGTGTGAGAAAAAAATTAGAGAAGTTAAATAGAAGTGGCAATTTTTAATTAGCACTTTTGTAAAGCTCATTTATTACCTGGCCAACTACAAACCAAGCACAGGGCAACAAAGTTCACTGCTTCCTTTGGCTATAAGGTGACAGAAAAATCATCTTTTGAAGATGTTCAAAACACGCAATATTAAAAAAAGAGTCAAATAATCAAGTAATAGAATAAATAAGTAGCAACTCAGGCAGTACATTTTAAACCACTATATAATTAATAAACATAACATAATTTTATTTTGGTGGCAAGTTCCAAGTATGTAAGGAAAGAAGCTTCAAGCAGTAAGGTAAATAACCACCAAAATAAAACTATTCTTCTATTAACTCTTTGGCTAAAACCCCTCAAAATAACAGACAAGAAATACATCTAATACTGGCAATAAACTATGTGGGTTTTTTGTTTTTTTTTGTTTTGTTTTGTTTTGTTTTGTTTTTTACAAATAAGATAAACTAACTTATCAATTTAAAACGGTACATTTTTAAAAACAAAAGAGGTAATGTTGTAATAAAAGCAGTAATGTTACTTAAAGTGGCAACATACTGTTTGTTGACCCTGTGCAACAATATACTTTGTTCATACTACATTTATCCAAACATGACTAACAATCACCATAGATATTGTAGGATTTTTTTTTATGAGATTCCCGTCAACTTTTTTTTTTTATTATTAAATAACTGGGACACAATTTACAATCAATGGGCCACAAAAATCTTTAAAATACTTCTAGTAGAGTTTATGTTCAAAATATTCAAATCCTGCTTTATGGTTTTGAGCAGTTGATTAAGGAAACAAGTACATTTTCAGGAGTATATGGAGTTATCAGTGACTGCATCCATTGTCAGAACACACTGCATTGATTTGACACTTTTCCTTAGTACATAGCAAGCAACAGCACCCAATAAAGCCTGAGAAGAAATGCTGCTGTAAATACTGCAACTATTCCTGATAAAAAAAAATTATGGGATTTATACTCCAAAAGCTGCCCGATCCCATAATTTGTATTGCATAGGTCACAATCACACACACACACACACACACACACAACGTGTGTGCATATGTGTATATGCACACACACGCGCGCGCACGCACAAGCACGCGCACACACAAAGAATATATTAAGACGACAACAAAGTCTAGTCACAGAGCAATTTACAGGCACAATATATTTTTTCTTTTTTTTTTTTTTTTTTCCTCTTTTTCTCTTACACTTTGCTTGAAAGAAAACTTCAGTATTATTTTACAGTCTTCAGTAGGCATTATATACACTGCACTTTAGGAAATCTAGAGGATATTGAAATAGAAATACATTTCTGCAAACATTTGGGTAAGAAAACAAACCAAGTTTCTCCAAAGATTTGTGCTATCTACATAATATTTTTCCTAATCACAAAACTGTGTCCATGGAATGTTCTCTAGAAAATGTCTTTTTTTTTTTTTTTTTTTTTTAAACATGCACATTTTTAAGTAATTGTAACCCAAAATATTCCAACCTAAAACAATCTAACAATGCTCAGATTAAAAAATTTAAGTATCAGATCTGATTTTAAAAAGATACGTCTTTATTACAATAGTTGTAATGTTAAGAAGTACATGTTAAGGCTAAATTGGTTTGTTGGTTTTTTTTGTTTTTTTTGTTTTTTTTTAGAAACACATTAAAAGACACATCTCCTGCAGGGCTCCGGGTTAAAAACTGTACCTACAGATGACAGTGCAGTGAACATAATGTTCGGTCCTACAGTCAGGATGCAGTTGCTCCTTCCCACTCCACAAGATACTGCACCTTTCCATCAAGTGTCACCCGACGAGCCAAAACACGATATTTTTCACCACAAGCTATTCTACCTGCTGCACCAAAATAACTAGTAATTGAGTTCTTCAGATGATTGAGCTGTAATTCCTGATCTGCTAAATTATTAAGAATCTCTGTATTGAGTTCATCATATGGATAATCTTCTTTGCCTTCATCATCTTTTACAATTTCTGAATTCTGAGTCTGGAGTGCTTTTCTTGGAAAGCGACCTCTTCTCCTCAAATGTGGTATTGCAGCAGGCCAAGTTCTTCCCGTACGAGTCCTTTTTCTGGAGTCAGATAAGCTAGACAATAATATAAAAGACACTAATATTACCTTGTAGAATATTACTTTTTACTTCAGCAATGCTTGTACCATTCTCATTAGTGATAACTTACTGGTATCTTATTTATTATTAGTATAGTATCAAGGGTGCACATGGTGCTTTACGTACAAAGAAACTCATAGTTCAAAGCATTATCTACACAAGAAATTACACCAGTTGAATTAAATTACTTTAAAAATTAACTTCAGTTAAACTGATGATACAAACTCATGTAGGCTCCTACTTAAGAATGATTTATTTTTGTTTAGCTTAAGCTCATTCTTAAAAATCACCATTCAAACAAAGAATTATGATCCTCCAAAGGGAACTGCACCAGTTTCATTTTAGCAGTTTAAATTCACATTCTAAAAAGGTGAAATTTGTAGGGAGACAAACCCTCTGTTACAACCTACACTACAGTATACTCCATTTAAGTGCATAGTCTTAGGATTGAAAAAGGCTTTGCATGTAACAGTTATGCACTTATATTGCCCTCCTCAAAAAAATAACTGGGCAGGGCAGTTTACTTAGCCAAACTTAATGTAAACAATCAATGCTTTTTAAGTACACAGTGTTACCAGTAGTATAGTATTAGCAGCCCCAAACCAACTAGGTTCTCCACATTTTCAAAGTTACTAACAACCACTGCTGGGACTATTATTCGAATCCATAGAAATGAGGGCAACTAATCTGTTTCAGGGTTGCTAACATGGCAGCATTGATGGGGTCATAATTTACAGTCACAGCTTGCAGTGTGTATCTGGAGCCTGATATTAGTTAAAAAACTGTATATAACCAAACAAAACGTATGGCACATAGTTTCCATAGGCAAACTGTTTGGAAATTATTTTTTTTCCCCAAATCCCTCTCCCTCCCCCTGCAAAATAATCTTTTAAAAGGTCTTTTATATTGTTAGTGTATGTGAATACAATTTTACATTTCTGATCACTAACAGCCTTTATCTCCCCCACATGACCCCAAGCAATTTCCATATGCAAAGTTCAGAGAGACTGTAGTTGTACCAATGGCAAGACAAAAAAAAAGATTACAGAAGCACTAACCACAACTGCAGGTGTCAGGGACATAAGTCCTTGTTAAATGCATGTTTATATCTTGCATATGTTAGAATGGCATGTAGTAAGATGTTATGTATTTGGTAAGTTCCTCAAAAAATTAAAATTCCAAGGCTAAACATATTTAAATATTTGAAACATTTCAAACAAACTTAAGAAAAAGCAAAAACCTAAATGCTGATTTATTCCACAAGTATTAATTTTCAAAAGATCTTATTTAATGTACTGTGATTTAAGAATCAGCATTAGATTCTCAGAATTCACATGGAAATCATTCATAAAAGTGTTTGGCAGCTTTATACTGGAAAGAGGAAAATGAGATGCATTTGGAATTAGAAAACTAGAACATGATTTGTAAGGGACCATCTCAACGGATAAAGAATTGTTAGGACTCTTAAATATGAAATAAATATGAATATGTATGGGGAGGACCTTTCCAAATAAATATTTACATAACATTCAGAAAAGTAGGCTGTACCTAATTAAATAATAATCTCATCAATATTGAAATGATCTACACTAATTAAAGATGGTCCAAAATACACTGCATTTGATATCAGTTTCATGTAAACTGGGTATTTTTTCTTAAGCAAATAAGAATTGTTAAAATAAGTGCTTTCAAAAAGTTAACAGAAGTCTAATGTGGAGAAATGGTCATACTGCTAAGTTACTTTTCCTATAAATAGATCAAGTCCAGCTTGTATGTAACCATTAAGCAGTATTTAGTAACAACAGGAAGAATAGATAACAAAAAGAACAAATACAATATTTCAGCAAGTCTAACTAGAGCTCTACAGGATTCCTGATAAATGCTGCTTTGCCTTAAAAGGCAAAGTTTTTCAAATGCTTTCCCCTACCTCTTTTTTTTTTTTTTTTTAAGAAAAAAAAACAGCATGAAGGAAATCAACACTTACCATGGGTAAGTTATATTAGATATTTTAAAATGATACATACTACTCCCATAATTACCTATAATGTCGTGAAATGCTAGATGAGGTAGTTTCTTTTGTACTGGCAGCACCTGTGGATTCCACATCTGAGGTATTAGATGAATGTGCAGTTCCATCAGCTCTCCTGAGATTCAAGATAATAGGACTGCCATGTAATGAAAGCAATCTAACTTAAAAAAATCTGGTATTTCATAAGAAAAGGATAAATTAAATATCTTAGAATTGGCTTGAGGTTATTTTCATTTACCCAACAGAGGGGGGCAAATCCAGGACTGGAGTCTCTACCACTGGAACTGGTTCCTTTTCCTAAGAGAAGGGAGGGGGAAAAAAAAAAAAAAAAAAAAAAAAAAGTCATTACAGACACTTTCAAAAGACAGGTGATCAATTTTTGAAAAAACAAAATAAAACAACAACAAACAGTTAAATCATAGTGATCACATTTCTGCTCAGAAGTGCTGTACTGCACTACAGGGAAAATATGATTCCAAAAACTTACCAAAGAAGATGGCTCTGGAGTTTTGGGAATCATTTTTCTTGTATAGGGACCAGGGGGACGACCTACTGATTTTTTCTTCCCCTTCCTTTCTATACCATTAGTTACTTCCCTAGAAGAAACACAACATTTTGTTTACATAACTGGAGGTGTCTGTCTGAGAAGGAGATGCTCCGTATACAATCAACATGTTTATAAAGTTTCTCTAAACAAGTTATTCTAAATTGTTACCCTAGTAAAATACAAATTTTATTAAACAAAAAGTTACAGATCTTGCTTGTAGTGCAAATCAACATTGTTAAGGAAATGGATTATACTTAAGATTTTTTCCAGTAACACAAAACTAACAGGAGTTGGTGTAAGAGTGTACATTAAACTGTTTGAACTCTCATGCAGAAAATTCAACTTTGATATAAACTGTTAATATATTAAACGCTGTTGCAAGATAATGACGTGTTGCACAAAAAGTAAATGGTTGTCCATAGTCTGGTTTACAACTTTAAATCTAAACAGGAAGTAGCATTTATTGTTCAGGTAGCTGCACAACAGAACTGAGCATAGAAAACCTGTGTTTTAGTTACTATTCTTAACACTTCTAAATTTCACTATTTTTCAGCATAACAGCTTCAAAAGGGTAATGTAAATCAACCACAATCAAAATGAAGAAATAGCTCATCTATATGTTAATGGTTTAATAATGCACAATAAGCAGCATAATTTAAAAAAATGAAGTTGATTATATTTTAGGCCTAGAAGTCAAGTTAGCTTTAAAAAAAAATGTTGTAAATGTCTAGTCATTACTACAGGAAATTGTTTAAATTGTCACTGAAAATATTAAAAATGATTAAATTTACAGGATCTACAAAACTGGTATGTTTCTTCTGCTTAGCAGTTAGTAATACACTAACACCAGAAATGGAGACGTGTGCTATATCATAATGGTAACATTCATTTCGAGAGCTATTTTTGTAAAACCTCAGCACCACTACAATGATTACTGAAGTCACTGAGCTACTGACTTATTTTACCTTGTATCAGGTATTGGTTTAGATGATTTCCTGCCCTTAATTTTGAACTCATGAGATGTTCCTTCGGGTTCTTTCTCAGCCTTTAAGGCAGCATTTGGTGGCACTGGAGGAACACGAATTCTCAAGCCAAACAAATGCTTCTTTTTCTTTATTTCTTTTCCAGACATAAACCTAGATAATTTTAAAATAGTTTTTTTTTAAAATTCAGACTAAGGAGGCTATAAAATCATTTTATACACATAGAAACTTTAAAAATAGACAAACTAGAACCTTCTTTTTATATCATATTTTTTTCTATTTTATTTTCCTTCCTCCCCCCAGTACATGATGTCAACAGTGGAAAAAGGGATGGAAGCTAAAACAGTTTTGCTAATGATTTATCTCCCATAGCCACCTCAATTATCATATGACATTAAATGCTGAAAGAGTTAATTTATCTAATAATAAAGTCATTTGAAGTCACCACTGATCATATCTCTGAGTAAATATTCTAAGGTGCCTGAGAATAGCAGAATCTACATTAGAATGAAATTTAAAGAGCATTCTAAACGCGTAATAAAACCCCATCAACTTACATAGTCTTGTAATCATTTAATGCCTCCAGTACATGCTCATATCTTTCAGATTTTGGTGTGTCTGCCAGCTGTAAAGTATTGAGAAGTGATTTACCCTATAGAATTTTCAATAGTAAAAAAACCAAAACTTGTTGACCTAAATGAAAGTTCCTTTAAGAGTATAGGTTCAGATTTATAGTATGCTTTAGAATAATATTTGTTACTGAAGCTGCCTTACTCCTAACCCTGTGTCATTATAACCAGAACCCCAGGTTTTCCATTGTTCTTCTACAACAGTATTTGCTGCAGCCTGCCCATCGCCAAAGAACGTGAAATGTAACGTCAACCAGAATTTAGAGAGAGAGAATATAAACCAAGGTTGTGTTGTCTTTCAGACTCTGCTGGCATCCTAAAACAAGAACTTGAGTAGTGACCTTGGAAAGGCACAAGATTTAAAAAAGGGTGACTCAGGCTGTCAAAATTACAGTTGTTCAACATTCCCCCCCTTGTGAAGGAGAGACACGGTGTCCTAGTCTTGACAATCTCTTCATTTCCAATTGTGCTCTACTGTCTGCGCTATCCTACTCCAAGTGCTTTACAACAGGGGTTGTCAACTGGGGATACACGCACCCCCAGGGGTACTTGGAAAGGTGCTAGGGGGTACACACAGGAGGGTGGGGACAGAGTGCCACCACCTACCACCCTGTGCCACTGCCTCCCAGGAGCAGGGCCAAGGGGGGTCGGGAGGGCAGCGGCTCCTCTCTGTGGGCCACACAGGCACCATCTGGGTCGGCTGGACGCAAGGGGCTTGCACGTGGCAGTCGCTGCCATCATCCACCTCCCTGTGCCACTGCATGCAAGCCTTCCTCACCCCCCACTCTGCATCTGGCTGCCACCACCAGAAGGGGTACACTCCTTAAAAAAGGTTGAAAACCCCTGCTTTACAAAGGGTGCTCAACCTCCAAAGCCATCACATCTAGTCTGCAGGGCTCCCCCCTGGGAAATTTGGTGGTATGGGCGAGGTAGCCATTAATAAAGTGACTCTACCCACTCCAAATTCCCTAGCCCCACACTCCCAGTTGCAGCTGGGTCCCACCCCCTCCCCTGCATCTGGGTCAGAGGCTGGGCACCATTCCCTTCCCCCACATCTAGGGGCCAGTTTTGAGGCAGGCCATGCCCCTCTTCACCCCCCTGGGGCCAAGTTGCAGCTGGGCTGCCTCAATTCCCTCCAGTGGCTGGACAGCACCCAACGTGCTGGCCCCAGTGCCAGATTGGGACTACCAGTGGGATCCGGCTAGCAGACAGACAGATACTGCCCATTCAACCCACTGGGGAAAAAGGTCGAGCACCACTCAACATCTGGTCTTTAAATGGGAAGCAAGCAACTTCCTTTGGAAGTCTAAATGTATTGCCACTTAACCAACTGGAAGTGCCCTTAAAAAAAGAAAGCCAAGGTCTCCCACTTTATACCCTGTTAGAATGCCTACTCAACAAGATTCTGCTTAGATTGTAGAACAGTTAAATGATGTAAGTTACATAAGTTGGTCTAATAAAAGATAACAGATTTACCCAAAAGAACCTTTTCTGCCTATGTCCTTGGACCAACACGGCTACAACCTACACCCCTGTAAATTACATAAATAATTTAGAAAGGCAAGGATAAATAATTTACTTCTGTAACACTTCTGCCAAATACTAAGAAATCAAAAGTCAAAATCAGACATAAAACCTACTTTTCAGGCAGAGCAAGCATTCCAAAGCCATGTAGCCAGCTGGAGTATTCATTTTTTTTTCATAAAACTTTATTAAAAAGATATGAAAGAGTAAGAGCCACAGCATTCTCTGCTCTTGTGCTTATCTTTTGAACCTTAAATTAATAAATAATGCATAAATAAATTAATGCATTATTTCAGGAAAAAAGTTATAAAAACCTTCTAAATATAATCTAAAAATCATGATTACAAGATGAGCATTTTTTTTTTTTTTTTTTTAATTGCTGTACAACTAAAAGGCTCTCCAGGTAAGAATTTCCACAGCTGTCTAAGACTGGATTATCTACCAAAGGATTCACTTATTAGAATAAGGTAGCAACTGCTATGTAGCAGGTTCCAAGTTACATAAATCAGACAATCAAGATGAAATATGTTCAAGTGTACAAAATGCATTTGAAGGGGTTCAAAACTTCTAAAAAAATTCTCATGTATTTGTCAACTATCTTAGCTATTAATTTTGTACTTACTATGATGCTCAGAAATGGAAGACTGATATATGCTTTCTCTAAATCAGCAGGGATCCAGATTTTCCATTTGTCATGGAAAAACATGGATTTTCTCCTTTAAAGAAGAATTGCCAACCTAAGTTTCTTGGTTTTTTAAAATAACAATTTTAAAAGTAAGAAGGGACCATTGTAATTATCTAGGATAACACAGTTCACTAACTCACTCAGTTGTTTTATGAATGTATCGGCTGATGTAACACAAAAGATTAGAATATTTCATCTACCTACCTCACCAGGATGCAATCGATCCCAGTTTTCATTAATGTATGCCATAAGTTCAAGTTCCGAATCAAAGTATTTCTTCTTATGAATAACACTTAGGTTGTAAAGACATAGATGTGCTATATCTACCCTAGAATTCAAAAAATAATGGATCAGGAAATTGATGGTTATTTCTTTAGTTTATATTCTTTGAACAAAGCTTACCCAAAAACTGTTGGCATCACTTGACTAAAAAGTCTCTCAAAAAATTTCCAGGAAAATAAATCTGCAATTAAACCACCTTTCTGGAGGATTTCTCTTCTTTGTGCTGTTTTCATCCAATGTCCATCATCATGGTTATGATGTTATTTTAGTTCCAAAGTTTCTTTGCATCTTATATTGTTTAAATGATGCAGAATTAATGCATTTTCCCTGAAGCTAATTAACACTTAATGAGTTTTTATTTTAAAATGATTAATTTCTGAGTAAACTGCATTTGTATAGAAGTGCCAAAGTTACTCACTTCTCACAAAACTTTATCCTGATGCATCTTAAAATGCTGACTGCTATGTGCACTATGTTTAATTGTCCACTGGCAGAACTCTATAGTCAAAGACCCTGGTTAGCCTCTGGAGCAGGGTATTACATGCGTTTTCCTTTATGTTGTACTTACCATCGCAAGGGTAAACGTTTGAGGTATTCTGGTCCAGAACTGCAAACTGAGCATATGAATGTATAAAACCTAACACAAAATGAAATAAAATAAAATTAGTTAAATGCTTCATGGAAATACTTAGTTGTAATCAAGTTGTAACATATCTAATACCATAATTAGTCATCTACTGGTCACTCTGCAGAGCCTCTGAATTTTTAAGAAACTAAGTACTGCAAGCCTGTCCACACATCTAATTCACAGTTAAGTCAATCACAATCACAGTTTTAATCAATTGCTCCAGTAAGAGCCAGAAAGCTAATTTTTTTTTCTTAACTTTGTAATATATTCTATACAAGTGATATCCCCATATACTTTTAAGTTAAGTACATTGTTATTACAACAAAACCTCCTATTAAATACATATGGAATATTTAACTCCCAACATTTCAAACAAACACATAACAAAGAGTTGAGTTCAAGCTTCTTACCTGTCACCAAAAAGCATTGGCTTTTGGAGACACTGCACACAAGCTTCATGAAACCACTGTTTACATTTGCAACACTGCAGCATCTTTAAATACCAGCTTCACCAAAAGAAATTAAAAACAGCCAAGTGTTAAAAAAAAAAAAAATTGTAGCAAATGCTCCACAAAACTGTATGGTCACATTATGTTTAGGGAGATTTGCAGGTCAAAGTTTATCTAAAATTTTTACAAGGTATCTATATTATACAACATCAAACAAGGTATTTTTATCTTAGTTCCATCTAGAAACCTAGAAAACAATCTGGTCTGTTTAATCCAGGTGTCAAAGATATGGCCCATGGTACTGCATGTGGATTTCTGACTGGCTTCACACACTGCATGCAGGGTGCACACAGCACTACAGCGAAATCACGCACACCTGGTTTGCTGGCCCAATCTGGCGCACAAACTGGCCCCACAACCCTCATCTGGCCTGCAGAAATCAATGAATTTGATACCCTGGTTTAATCAGATGGGAGAAATGAGAACAATAAATGCTATAATATAAAATTTTAGTTTTTAAAAATGTAAATGGTTTATGGCACAGAAAGTGATATGTATTCACAGTTTAAAGTAAAACATTTTTATGTTAATAAACCTCTAGCTCTCAACATTTAAAAAAAAAACCAAAACAAATGCTGGTCATTGGGATAATTATTTTATATTACTAGTCTAGATTACTTATAAGCAGGGTTCTAGGTTTTCCATTCACTATGGAAAAACATGAAGAAGAAAAAAAAAAAACAAAAAAAAAACATGGATTTTATCCTTTTATGGAGAAAAATGTGGATTTTTCTCCTTTAGAAGGAGAAAAAAAAACCCAAAACCACAGGAAACTTTGGGTTTCACCCTCTTGGGTGGCACAGTTCCAGCCTTCAAGGGGCTGGGAGGAGGACAATCAGGCAGGGGGTGCCATGTACATGTACAAATACACACATGGTGGCCAGGCAGCATGACAGCAGTTCCTGCAGGTCCCCACAGGTAAGTCTATGGCCGAGGGGCTGGCTCCCAGCCACTGTCCACTCCTGGCAGGGGACATGGGAGCACATGCACCCCAGACTTGTGCGTGGGGCAGAGGCGGATGCAGTCTGTCCACTGCAGGATCGGGGCTCCCAAGCTAGTGTCCCTCACTCCCAACCCACAGCCCCATGGCCCTGCTTCTGCCACTTGCATCTGATCACCCTCCTCCCATTCCCCCTAGCCTCAAGCAGGCCCCTGCCGGCTGGAACTCTACCAGACTTCAAAGAAAAAACCAAAGTTTCCTGGGTTTTTCTACTTAAAGGGAAATTATAAAAATAAGTAGTAAATAAAAAAAAACCACAGGGGAAAATCCGTGTTTTTCCATGGGAAACATAAAACCCAGATTCCTGCTAATTACTCTATAACTTCTCCAGGGACCTTTCCTACCACTACACTTTCGTGTCCTAAATCAGCATTTCTCAACCCATGGGTTGTAAGAATATATGAAAGGGTTGCGAACAAAACGTTTAAAATGGATCAACAAGCTTTTAAAAATGGATTCTCCTTTAAAGGAGAAAAAATGTGGAAAACCATGGGTTTTGCCTCGCAGGCGGTCAGTTCCAGCCTGTGAGGGGCTGCTTGGGGCCACCCCTGCCCCCCCCCACACACACACACACACACACACACACACACACACACACACACACACGGGAGCTGGGGCAGGACTGGCCAATGTTTACAAATGGGTCCTGCTACAGAAAAGGTTGAGAACCACTGTCCTAGATATTAGTGTAACAAATCATATACTAGCCACCATGATAACAGTGTAAGCATGCATGGCAGAAGAGTGCAGCAAGCCTATCATATTTATTCAGCAGCTATCCCAGCAGATACCCCGGGGTACCCCTGTATTTATTCCTTGTTGACCCTACTGTTCAAAAGAATACGTGGTCCTAACAACATTCTAGTAGTAAAGAAAGCCCTTTTGTTGCCACCAACCCCCCACCACACAGGATAGGAGGAGAAGTTAGTTAAGCATGGTCCAGGGGCAGGACCAGAGCAGACCCCGCGTCATGGAGCACTGATAGACTCAAGACTGCTTTAGAAATATCCTGATCTAAACTCATAGTTCAGCATACTTTTAATGCATATGAACTAAACTAACTTTAAACAGAACTACTCTCATAAATAAGGTTCTGAAAAAAGTATTTATACAGATTAGAAATAATGCAACAAAAAGGCAAGTCACTTATCTTTGCATTCAGATATTTTGTTAATGGTTGTCATGAGAAGACCATACAAAGAAAAAGAAAGACTTGATGCAATATAAAGAGTTAACATTAAATGTGTTTACCACAGTCTGTCCTAAAAGAAAACATTTGCATTCATTTCAAAGGTGTATTCTTCATTAACTGGCCCCATTGGAGGAGGTAGCATGGGAACTGGCAGCATGGCAGCCAGCACAGGCATGGGGAGGGCAAGGGGCAGAGGGGCACATGGCAGACAGCTGGGGAGACAGGAGGCATGGGGTGAGGAGCAGCATCAAAGGGCAGGGATCTGGCCCTCACTGCTGCTTCCCCCCCCTCACCCCGCTGTGCCAGGGATGAATTTAAGATGACCCTCCAATAATTTGATTCTATACAAATTATGTAACTTCAAATATATTCATTTGCAGGATCAGGGCCAAAAGCTGACAGAGCTACATTAAGATGAAAAAAGACTTCCATATGGTTACTTACTCGCCAGGGCCTCCACAATAGCAGTAACACTGCTGGAGGTTAGTTTTATGACCTGCATCCCATTCCAGATCTGTTACATTGTATGGTAAGGTTTGCTTCATGACTTGCAGTGCTTTGGCATTGGGTCCTTTCTTAAGTGCACCGCCCCTCTGCAATGCAACATCTATAGTTTATATAATAATCAACATGTTTTTGTAATTAAAAACACCTTGTAACTTGAAGACTAACTGGTTATAGTAGTAGTTTGATAAGAATTTTCACCTGCAGTAATGCTTGCAATACTAGCTTGACTGCTTTTTAAAAACAGATGTCCTAAAGATACATACACAACTTTGAATTCACAAATCTTCCCCAACCAGGTCAAAGCAAAGGGAGTTCTTCAAAGAGTCATTTTCAAATTTCATAATATGAATATTTCATTGAGCAGTAAACATACTCTATAATGGAGTAAATTCAAATTTATATATCAGCCAAACAGATCAAATTTATTTCTATCCCATACCTTAGTTGTTGTTGCAAAAACACATTGTCGACAAAGCCATTTATCATCCGAATCAATCACGCTGGAATCAATGTTTGGTGTGTGACATAGCTGATGATAACCTGAATTAAAAAATATAGGTTTTACTCTTTAAAAGAGAACTTACGCATTGTTTTTAAAATTATTTTTAGTTCCTGTCATATAACTATTTAATATTTCTATACAGAAAGTAAAGCAAACTTCCATCAAAGAAAAAAAAAAAATCTGATCAGCAAAGATGGTAACTAGCAAATTCCAAATACTCTTTTTGAAAAGTTCTTAGGAGTTTTAATGTTTAAAATGGCCACTTTCTGAGTAGGTTTAGTCAGCTACTTCTACCACAACAAATACCTCAACAGCTGAAAACCTTTAAAGGTTACAAAATTCAGGTTAAAAAAAAAGCAGTCTAGCACAGACCACTGACTTTTTGCCTTTTCTATTCTATACCTGAATGTGGCCAAAACAAATATCCCTCTTCAAAGGAGTAAGCAGAAATGTCTTGTTAAATACAGCAAAAACCAAGAAAGAAAAGTTACCTTGGCCACATTTATCACATATAACCATTTCATTAGGTGCTTCTGAATACTCCTCCTGACATATCGTACAGACCATTTCCCCACTTTCAGTGGCTCCTAAAGAGAGAAAGAAAAGTGTGATTCATTATTATTAGAATAAAATTGTCGTTGTTAGGTAAGTTATGAGTGCTTTTCTTTCTACAATTTACTTTAGGTAACATATCGATGTGTTGTTGGAGCAGGCTAGTGCTATATGCTCAAGTTTCTCTCAGTACCTGAAAACATGTATTCTATACTAACTGTATCCTTTTTCCATTTCTAATAGAAGAGATTCCATATAGCTCTCTGTATTTTTCATTAGTCAGGCAGTTCAGCAAACCCATAGTATCAACAGTTAAAGTGAAACAGCTGCATAAATTATATATGCAAACTAAGTGTACAGGAACAAAAATATTAATCTATATAGATAAACCATCAAGCACTTGGTTTTGAATGCAAAAATTCATTTTGTATTTGCAATGTCTGTCAAATATATATGACAGAAAGAAAGCTTCAGCAATCCTGTGAGACAGTAATACTATTTACATACTTCCATATAAGTAGATAAGCATACAGCATAAGTAATAGCATCATTTTTTAAAGACTGGTAAGTCAAGTATTTAAGAGAAACTTGTTCCAGTCTACACACCATGTCAATGTAAAAGTTATCAACTTTTGCCAGACCATGCCACTGCCAATGAAGTACTGTACTTACTCGAATCCAAAAAGTTCCAGGCCCTCCGCCAGTTAACAGGGTGGGGTGGAAGCTTCACCTTAGATTCAAGTACCAGCCCAGGTTGCACAGCACTCAGCTAAGCCACTGTCTGTCCCAGGCCAGAATGGCTTGTGCAGCAAGAGGGGGTGTCACAGGGCACTGAGGTGCCCTGCTCCTAAAGAGGGGAAACTGCCTGGGAAAGAGCCCTAGCAGGGAGTAAGGAGCCCAGCAGTGGGTTGCCAGGGCAACCAGAAGGTCAGCTGACTGAAAGGGGCAGGGCCTGGCTCCTATATAAAAATCACAGGCAGGAGGCCAGAGGCAGTTCCCTACCAGCAGCCCAAGAAGCAGCAGCTCTCTGCTGCAGAAGAGAGGAGAAGCCTGCTGAAAAAGCAGCACATGATACGGCTGTGGGATGGAGAACCCCAGTAGGCAAAGCGTTGTTATAGCCGGGCAGCTTCTGTTTCAGTTATAGCCAAAGGGCTTGCGTTTCTGTTACTGTTTGTTACACCGGTGGTTTGGGTGAGGCTATTAGGGGTTGGAGGCGGCCTCATAGGGGACTCACGGCAGAGTGTGAGGACCCCAGCGCTAGTGAAGGCGCAGCATTCAGGGGGCAGTTGAGAAGCCCCAGAGAAGGGGGCATTGCGGAGAAGCCCCAGTGCGGGGGTGGTGAGCCCCAGAGAGAGGGCAGCGTGACTGAAGAAGGCCCCAGAGAGAGGGCGTGGAGACAGAGAGAGAGAGACTGAACAACGTCTATTCCAGCTGCAAGGCTTGGGACGTGGTATAAGGGGTGGTTGGAGCCACGCATAGCCCCCAAGGCTAGGGTGCCCCTGAAGCACCCATTGTAGAGTGGGACCCACAGAGGGTCTGGGAGTTCACGGGGCCAGAAGTAACCGTGTCCAAGGAGATGTAAGGCAGCCTCCCTAATAAATATTGGAACATCAAAGACGTGGCGGGCAAGAATTTGAGGGTGCCCTTGGGCCAACTTGGCATGGGAACGGGGCCTTGAGGAGATCACGGCCCTCCTGTAGGACCCCGCCCATGACAAAGTGGTGTATTGGCCAGGAACATAAGGCCGTGCACAGGGAAGGAACCCGTGTCCCTGAGAAGGGGAGACGAACCTTAGGGCTAGTACGGATTTACAGAAAGGCAAGGCAGTGAGACTGGGGGCTTGAGAAGGCAAGCCCAGATCAAAGAAGAGACTACTGTTAAAAGACGTAGAAGGGAAGACGTTGGGTCTGGTCTAGGACGAAAGTAGAACCATGGCAGGAATAGAGGACATGGAGAGTCTGAAACAAGAAAATTTTGCCTGGCTATTACAGGTGAGTGGATTAGAAGAAAAAGTTGCATGGCTGGAGTGGGAGCTAGAGGGAGGCCACTTCCCGGAGGAGCAGGCTGAGGCAAAGGCCGCTGGATTAGAACAGCGGGTACAAGCAGGGAGAAAGGAAGGAGGTTCCAAAGAAATTAGGCGCCTGATTGCAGCAGAGGCAGAGAGGACTCAAGCACTAGAATGGCTCATGGCAGAAGAGGCCAAAAGGAGCAGACAGAGAGAAGAGAAACTGCAAGAGATGCAGAGGGAGATGGAGGCATGGAGAACAAGATCTTCTGAGACCTATATGACCCAGGCAGGAGAACCAAATGAGATGCAACAGGAGTTGGAGGCATCAAAAAGCCTAGTTAGTTTCCTGCAGAAAGAAGTCCGCAGCCAGGAGGACCGCATAGATGAATTGCACAATGAGTTGAAAGACTGGCAGCAGAGGTGCATACAGGCAGAACACCTAGCGCAGGGGCTGCGGGAAAAGCTACTTGAAAGTCATGCCCAAGCAGAAGAAACGGGCAAGGCGGTCACCCAGGAGATGGAAAAAGTAAGAGTCAACATGGCAAGGTATGAGGCACTGTACGAGCGAAACTTGTCCCTTGAAAAGGAGCTAGAGGCCGGGGCGAGAGAGAAAGAGGGGTTACAGGCCCAGTTGCAAAGGATGGAGATGGAAAAAGACCACCTAGAAGAACAGGTACGGTCCCTTAAAACCCTCCTAGAGGACAGCTCAGCTAAAGAGGCAGTGATGAACACCGAGAAAGAGCAGTCACAGCCTCAAAAGCAAGGTTTAGAACAGCAGGTTCAAGCCTTGAAGGCAGAAAATAAAACGCTACGAGAAACAAGCAGTCAGATAGCTGCAAAAGGCCAAGATTCTGGGGAGTCGATGGAGACAGAGGTGACAAGTACAGCGACCCAGACAGAAGCAGGACTAAAGGCTCAAACGGGGGAGTGTGTGGAAGCAATGCACGAGGCATTGCAAGCGCAGAAGCAGTCCCTTGAAACAGAGGTAAGAGCCAGAACAGAGGAGTGTATAGAGCTGCGAGCTCAGTGGGAAAAGGTAGAAAAGGAAAAAGACCAACTGGGGAAAGAGATACAGTCCCTGAAGACCTTATTAAAGTAGAGCACAGCCAGGGAGTTGGCATTGTGACAAGAGATCGAGCAGCAACTGGTACAGGCCACTCAAACACAGAGTGAGAGACTGACCACAATAAGCAAGCAGTTGGAAGAACATGCGTCCATGGCTAAGGCAGGATGCAAGGAGCACCTTAAGGAGTTTAAAGGCTTGAAAGAGGTTTTAATAGGTACGGAAAGATTGATAGAGACCGCACGGCCCATGCTCTTAAAGGTCCTGAGAAATCAGGAACAACCCAGTATGGTGGGCTTAGAAATTCCTAGAGAAGAAGGGGAAACAGAGCAGCAGAAAGAGAATACAAGGATAGAGGCACTCTCAGGGGTAGACTCCACGAGGATGAGAGAAGAGATCACCTCCACAGTCATAGAGTGCCTGGATTGGAGATGGGGTCAGTGGGTGAACCAATACACAAGAGAAATGAACTGCCCGAGAGAAAAATTAGAGAAATTTGCCAGCTGCTATGATGCCAGGATATTGGCAATATCAAAATAGGTGCAACAGAGGGAAATAGACAAGGGAAATGTGGCAGCGGTACAAAAGAGTGAGCTGGTCAGTAGAAGAGATAAGAACAGTGACCTAAACTACCTTGTTCACACTCAGAAGTGGGGGACAGATAAAACAAGAAGGCCAGAGACCAAAGATGGCCCAGGCTTGGGCATATAATAGGCAAGGTGCAGGTTCCAAAGGAGAGAGAGCGGTAGAACCTCTAAGTAAAAGAGAGGTCCAGAGGCCTGAGATGGACCAGAGGAGCCAAACCCCCAGGGAAACTAAGGGCAGGGAGGAGAAGTACGTCCCAAGCTCTACCCTAAGGATGAGATGCAGAGACCGTGCCAAACCCAGACTGCAGGCCAAACTAAGGAGGCAGAAGGTTCCTCAACAACAAAGATAATTCGATTAGAGAAAGAACAAAGGGGAGGAAGGCGGCCATGCATTTATGTTAATAATCTCCCAGGGCAAGTCAGATGGTGGACCCTGAAGAAAATAGTTGAAGCCAGAGTTGGGGGAGTAGCTTTTGTAAAGGTATATACAGGGCCTGGCAGAAGATCCACTGGCCAGGGAAAAATAGAATTTTGGAGGGTGGAAGATGCCTGGCGAGCACTTAGGGTGCAGTGGGAGCTTTGGGGAAAGCTCATGGATTGGCAGGAAACCAAGGAGAGGAGGGATTTGTTACAAGGGGCACGAAGAAGAGGAGGTCTGGGACACATGGAAAGGGACAAGACACCCCAAGTAGTAGGAGGCAGCTCTCCCAGGAAGAGAGAGGAGACTTTGTCTTCATATTGATGGGGTGGTAAAGGAGGAAAAGAGAGGCCTGGATTGCATCCTACCAGGGATGGCTAATGTGGGGGGACTACCTGTGGCGGGATAACTCCTGAAAAATCCTACATGGTGCGCCCTGGGTAAAAGGCGAGAAGGAGGCGCCTGAAAATCTCCGCCTCCTGAATTTGAGTCACCGGGTGCCTGAAGAAAGGCCGAAAAGAGCCACAGAGTGCAGCAACCTCTGACAAGAATGAAGATCCGCCTCGGTGAGTCGGGATCTTAAGGGGGGAGGTGTGTCACAGGGCACTAAGGTGCCCTGCTCCTAAAGAGGGGAAGCTGCCTGGGAAAGAGCCCTAGCAGGGAATAAGGAGCCCAGCTGTGGGTTGCCAGGGCAACCAGAAGGTCAGCTGACAAAGCGGCAGGGCCTGGCTCCTATATAAATCACAGGCAGGAAGCCAGAGGCAGTTCCCTGAGAGCAGTCCAAGAAGCAGCAGCTCTCTGCTGAAGAAGAGAGGAGAAGCCTGCTGAAAGAGCAGCACATGATACGGCTGTGGGATGGAGAACCCCGGTAGGCAAAGCGTTGTTATAGCCGGGCAGCTTCTGTTTCAGTTATAGCCAAAGGGCTTGCGTTTCTGTTACTGTTTGTTACACCGGTGGTT